TGGGACTCAAGTCGAATACTACTTGGAGTGGATGAGTTCCTGTAAGAAGCGGGAAAATGAGGCACACTGCCCATACCAGAGCAGCGATACTCGTGTAGGCAGCAAGCTTCTTCATGTTCGGCATTCTCAGAAGAGACGGGACCTCTACAGTAACCTCCGATGATCGACTCATGTCGGTAGAATCTCCATCAACGGCTCTCCGCTTAGCCCCATTCTCAGCTTTCCACAGCCTGATTCCTTTCCGGTAGGCCATGAAGCTTCCCAGACAGACGAAACAGAAATACAGAATAAGGATGAATAGTGATGGGAGCCAGGAGTAGAGGTAAACGCCTATGAGGGAACCGATGACAGTGCAGGGCAGAGTGAGGATAACAAAGGGCCACACGATGAGGGCTTTAGGATCATTCCTAGCGGAGTACTGCTCAAAGCAATTGAAGAGAGTCTGAGAGGATAAGACCAGCACTGGTGCCAAAAGTTATCCAGACCTACAGCAGCCAATGATGCTGAGGCAATTAATGCCTGGCTCAGTGCTGTTGACTCCTTCAGTTGCAAGCCACCAATTAGGCGGAGTACTGGAACGAAGAGGACGCCACCACCGATGCCAGAGGGCATACAGAGCAGTGCTATGATGAGGAGAAGGGGAGCAACCCCGCCAATGTTCTCGATTGATGGAGATGTCATGTTAACGACACAGTAAAGCCCTACATGGAGCAACGACGATGGCTCCACAACATGCTGCTTACTTGAGGGTATCGCTATCAATGGATAATAGTGATACTAACTACAATGGATCTATTATCAATACCATATGCCGATGGTTCCTACATGATCACGCAAGGGGAGCACGCGTACCCATGCGTGCCAGCGGAGCGACCGACGCCAAACTGGTAGTGAAACCCTGTAACGGGCTCGACTGTATGTAGCGGAACTTCCTCTTCCGGGAAGAGGGCGATGTGGTGGACCACCACTAGTGGTGGAGCACACGAACTGGATAACACAATAACTAAGGTGTGGATCGCCCTGGGCGATCCACACCATCACAGCGATCCAGTAATTGTTAGCTATGAATCTCACGTAGCACGCAAGCACGTGAATGTACACCTTTTTCAATCTCAAATTCAGCAAATGAGAGAACAAATTGGAAAATTGAAATTGATTTTAGTCGGATGAAAGGAGTCTTTCACCGAATGAAAGTTCAAATTCGAAATGAAAGATCGATTTTCGTAGACCACTCGAAAATGAAAGTTCAAATTCGTAAATGAAATTTATGAATCGCTCTAATGGACGCGCCCAGCGTGGTCAGAGGGCTGTGGTCATGCATACGTCTTCGAAAGGTGCTAATTTGCACCTTATCACGGCAACGACGAGTATGGAGATCGTCGCTTTCAAGACCAAGCGTGGGGCCTTCAAAGGTGCCGACTTGAAGGTATGTTGGCCGCCAACACGACGCTGCGGGACCAGCGGAACCTCGAGCAGGTAGCCTATCGCGCTGCGAGGACGCAAGGACAACCGGCTGTGCTAAGCAGCCTCGATCTGGATAGAGCTGGCTATTATCAGGATTTCGTTAGTTTGGTGCAGCGAGACGTTGACAAGTGTAGGGGAAATGATCAACGACTTCTCTTACATGCCGATGCCGGTCGGCCAATGATCATATGGGCTGCAGACCGCAATCTCAACGCATTAAATGGTAGCAGTGGTCTTATTTATGATGCTACATTTGCCGTGGCGCCCAAAGGATGGCAGCAATTGTGGGTCATTCTTATCGAGAAACAGGGGTACTACATTCCGGCGGTTTTCATTCTAATGGCACGGAAGACCCAGGAAGAGCATGAGAGGGCCCTGCTGAAGCTCCGAGATGTGCTCACTGAGCATATCTCGGAGCTTTCTTTATCTCGTCATGGACATCGATTCTACCATTAATAAGATCACCAAGGCCGAAGATGTGTTCAATCCTTTTTGAAGTCAAGATCCTCCTTTAGCTTTGTGCGATGCTATCTCATCTTGTTCCTCGAAGAGGTCACCTGAAGATGATGATGATGATGATACCATTAATAACATCACCGTGGCCGAAGATAGGTTCATTCCTTTTCGAAGGCAAGAGCCTCCTTTACCCGGGGTAAAGGGTTATTCCAGATCATATCTACTCTGTACATAATTACTGATTATGAACTCGCTATGCGTCAGGCCATTCTGAGGGTATGGGAAATAGATCCGGAAAGGTTGAGAGACTGTTTGTTCCGTTTGTCCAAATCGTGGATACGGGCATATCAGAGTGAAGGTTTGGCTTCTGAGTACTGGGCCTCTGAGAATGTCCGTACACCTACTGGGAGGTGGCTCCGAAGTGTGATTGGATTACCGTGCCTATCAGTTGAAGAATGCAAGCTGGCCTGGGCAGATATGAAGGAGCACAAACCACAGGGCGAGAAGATAGCGAAGCTTGTTTTGTATCTGGACTCCCACTACATGACCGACACCTCAAGATTTCCGGTGAGCCAGTGGGCAAGCGAGCCTGTCGATCCTCGATCTCAGGATTTCAGTCATAACCTCGGCCCGAGGTTATGACTGAAATCTACGGCGATAACCCACCCTTCGGAATCGAGGTTGTGAGGCTTGGCCCGTACAGTCCGATGCTGAATCCAGTGGAATCTCTATGGTCAAAAGCTAAGAGCATCATCAAAGAGAAGCTCCGGTAAAGACGTGATCAGATTCTGGCTCCTCCTGACCTGACCATTACTGAGCACAGCTTGCGGATCTTGGAGCAGGTCGCCGATGAAGCTATTGATATGTGCCGTGTCCCTGCTGATCTCGCAGCATACTCTCATCAAGTGAATGGGCGCCTTGCAAATGCGCTCCTGGAGCGCCGCTCCAGAGACTCGACATGCCTGTTGGGGTCTGACTATTGATTAATCATCATTCCTCTCGCCGTTTGTGGGAAAATGGGCCAGTACGCAATATGCGGGTAAAAGCACAGAGATACCAGCAAACTAGCCCGATGGACCCATCCCAGCTCACCAGGGGCTCCACGAACTTGGACATCACCTCCCCTGCCACAGCACCATCCTCAGCAGGGGCGAGAGCTACCCCAGCCTTGACGAGGTCCCAGACGATCACCCAGCGACCATCATCAGCCGAGGCCAATAGAGTCCTCATCGTCAACGGACTCAAGTCCAGTGAATGAATTCTTCTCGGTCCAGGTATGCTGTCAGGTATGGTGAGGAAGGTGTCCCGATCTTCGACCAGACTGCCTAGATGCACCCAACGATGACAGCCAGTTGCTAGATGCCCCAGTTCGCTTAGCCACAATACAACTTCTCCCCCACTGCAGAAATGTT